GGCTTGGTTTCCTCCTTCCTTAATCTACATCTACTAATAAGTCATCTAATAGGCTGTTAGTTTCATATTCTTGTCTTCTTCAGAAGGTGTCTTCTTCAGAAGGGGTTTATGTACAGAAGGAGGAATGGGTCTGTCCTTTTCTGCAAGCCACTTCATTGCTAGATGTATCTCCACTTTCTTGTCTGCAAACTGGGGGCGATTGAGCCCACCCTACTTTCCTTGCAGAGAGGTATGTGAGGACCCATAGAGCTAATGGATATAAAAATTGCTTTAGAAAGAACAAAATATCATATTTACAAACAAGGGATACATTTATTGATTTATTTTTGTTCCTTTGTGTTCCAAAAAGGGATTTGAGATAGCTACCAAAATGCACACAATACAGTAGAATAAAAATAGGTAAAGTGATAGAGCAGAGGGAAAACAAGGATAGAAAAATAAAATAAAGCCAGGGAAAATGCTAGTACATGGAAACTCATGCTCAAAATCCTTGAACAAGTTTGGCTCTGAGCTTCCTCGTCCACAAAGGAAAGTGGGAAGCATGGTCAGTTACAAAAGGCACAGCGGCCATGAGATAAAAGCATATCAGCATGCCAGGAAGAGCCACAGAGCTTATCTTGGCACAAATGTCTGACAGAAGTTTCTTGTCATCAAGGAGATACTGTGTGATGGAGTGATCTGCATATTCAACAATATTTAAATCCCTGTCCTTTGGTTTTGATGTCATCTGACATCTACCTCAGAGTCTCATGTGGATTCATCATGTATTTATGATTTGATTTAATTTAACCCCAAACTGGGTACCAACTAAATAACAAAAAAAATATTATTTTCATCTATTGCTTTCTTTTCTTTATATGGTAAAGGGAGGTTGGTTGCAAGGACTGGTACACAAGTTATCCCCAGTGAAGTATGTGGACAAAAAAGTTTGAGCATTTTGGCTTAGCTGAAATGTATAAAAATCACTAAGACGTAAAACTGATCCAAGCAGGCCATAAAGACACTGCTGCCTTTGCCTTAGAACCTGGGCTATAATCTGCTGTCCTGGAACAAAATTCAAACATAAATCAGCTTCCACTGTATTTTTAACCACCTACGAAATTCTTCATTTCCTGCCTGAGATGCCTCTTCTGACAGTGAATGATGCCACTCTCTCTCACCCCTGCTCTGAAAAGCTTCCCTCAGGGCAGTGGCAGGAACCCAAGTCTGGGCCCTGCAGCTCAGGCAAGTCCAGGATGAGGCAAGTGATAGAAGAAATGGTCTTTCAGGGTCTCCAGGACAAATAAGGCAGGGCTGTGTCTAGCCCATACAGGGCTTTTGTGCAAAGTTAGAAAGGGCGCCCCCTCTGGGCATGAGAAGCCCCTTGGGTTCCCACCAGGGATGCCCTCTCCCCCATCTCTTCCTAACCCAGCCTCATCTGTCCTCCAGGACCCATAGCCTCCCCAAGGCTACCCCCAAATACCCACAGCATTCTCTTTTTGCTGAGCTAAAATATCTCTTGTTGCTAATATATCAACAGTAAGTAGCAGACAGCTGGCGCTTAATTATACGACGTGTGGCATTCACTATTTCATGTTGTCAGTTTATCTCTCTAACTAAATTACAGATATCTTGAGAGTAATGATTAGTTCTTATTTTACATGTCTACCTTACAGCTACTGAGGGTGTCTTACGTCTGGGCAACTTACAGATAACAGGGTCACGAGAAACAGAATCCTGGATGTCTAAGCTGTCAAGTTCTCCCCATTGTGCCCATTTTGCAGACGAGGAAATTGACAGCCAATGAGGAGGCCTGACCTGCTCAAGGTCATGCAGTGAGAGCTTGGCCTAGCCATGAATGACCCCAGTTCTCCTGCCTGCCAATGCAGTGCTCGATTTCTCTTCCACACTTAGCTCTAAAACCCCATATAGATAGCTAAGACCACAGCTCACTGGGGAACAGAGACAAGACAGACAGCCAGCCCACAGTAATCCATCTGCTCGTAGGCAGAATTTCCAGCATGGAGCCAGGCCAAACTGCATTAAGACTCAGCAAACAGCCCCCATGGGAATCAAAGCCAGGTCTTCATATGTGCCAGGGGGATGAAAAGACCTTGGTAGTTGCCTGGGGTGCTTGCTGCCTCTCCGGTGACCCTCATGGTCACCACTGTCTGCAGTGCCTGGACACACAAAACTGTGAATGACGGCCTCAGTAGGAAGGACAAGTAGAGAGGTGGAGAGGGCATTTCCTCTTTACAGAGACACTTGTGCATGCTGGGGGCTGCCTTTTGCAGTGAACTACACACCCTTCACAGAAGGAAACGACCCAAGTATTTACCCCAAATTCATAACAACAGATACTTTACCAGTATCAAACCAATAACAAAAAATACAAACAGCAATAATTACTAAGAGAAACCCTATAATAACAAGCTGGCAGCAGGCTAATTAGTCCTGCTGAGCCTTTCGGTCACTCACAAGTCACTGCATGGACCACTTCATAATTCTCACAATGACCCTACCAGCCTGGCAGGATGTGATTGTTTTACAGATGTGGAAGCTGAGGCTCAGCGGCCTGAGGTATCTTGCCCCACATCACACCACGGCTAAGTGGCAGAGCTGGGATGAGAAGCCAGGTTGGTCTAACTCTAAAATCAGTTCCCACTTTACTACAACCCACACAGGCTCTCACCCCATCCCCATTTCAAGTATTTTGTCCCATTGTCAGACCCGTGGGACAAGGTTTAATTGGGAAAATATGAGGCTCTTCAGGGAGAAAGATGACAGTTTCACTATCATTTCACCAGGGAATGGGAGAAAGAGACAAGGGACCAACATGAGGTGCACCCAGATCTGTGTGGCTTTTCTTGGTGCCAGACAAATGCAGAAGGAGCCACTTCTAAAAGAACTCAGTGTTTTTCCTCCTCTTCCCACCTCCTCTGAGCCAGGGCCTGTGAAAATGGGAAACACAGAGTCTGTTTTTTCTGGGATCAGAATCAATTCTGTGAAGAGTGTTCTGACAATAAATGTGGTTCATTGACAGTTGATGGACAATGTTCCTGAGTAAGTTTTTTCTGTGCTGGGTGTTAAGCTGAGAACTCCACTAAACAACAGCTCAACAGCCTGCTTCCTGTTCAGACAGAATTTACTACATTTTCACTCTGTGGGCCTCAGTTAGGCAACCAGGTGAGATGATATCTCAGGTCCTTTCCCGCTCCATCATTCAATGACTCTATCAAGAAGAGAACACAGATCTCAAAATATTGTTTCCCCCAAACATTGAGTTGCAGTTATTATTCACACAGAGAAACACAGGCTCCAACACAGAGATAACTGATCAGAAAATAAGGAGCTTCGACTCTCAAAATCTTCAAACCAGTAATTTTACTTCTATGAATTTATCTTAAAGAAAGAATCCAGAAGGACAAAGCTACGTGCACAAACATGTTTGCTTTAGCAGTATTTGGAGGTACTATCGAAATAAAATAATGCTTAATACAAGAATGGGATGTATTTACTTGGTGGTACATACAGGCAGCCATCGCAAAAGACATGGAAAAATGTCTATGACAGTGTTTTTCAAATTCCAGTTCGTGCTCCAATAACAGGTCATAAAATAAACTTAATGAGTCTCCCATCACTTACTTTTTTTTTTTTTTAAACCAAATAGGCCAGAATAGATAATATTAGAGCGCATCACAGGTGGTAAAGGTACTTACTGTGAAACTTTGGTTCCGGTTATATGGGTAACTGGGCCATGTTATAAAATCTGTGTTTTTATCGTGGGATCACAGTCAAAACATTTCAAAGACCAGAGGTTTACAGTGTACTATACGATAGGATTACAACAGTACAGATACTCTTCAACTTCCAAAGAAGTTATGTCCTGATAAACCCATCGTAGTTGAAAATATTGTAAGTCAAAAATGCATTTAATACATCTAACCTAACAAACATCATAGCTTCACCTAGCCTACCTTAAACATGCTCAAGACACTAACATTAGCCTACATTTGGACAAAATTATCTAATACAAAGTCTATTTTATAATAAAGTATTGAATAGCTCATGTAATTGATTAAATATTGCACTGAAAGTGAAAAACAGAATGGTCGTGTGGGTACTTGAAGTACGGTTTCTTTTTTTTTTTTTCAAAGATGACCGGTAAGGGGATCTTAACCCTTGACTTGGTGTTGTCAGCACCACGCCCAGCCAGTGAGCGAACCGGCCATCCCTATATGGGATCCGAACCCGGGGCCTTGGTGTTATCAGCACCGCACTCTCCCGAGTGAGCCACCGGGCTGGCCCGGTTTCTATTGAAAGTATATTGCTTTCACACCAAACGATAAAGCCAAAAAATCATAAGTTGGACTATCGTAAGATAGGGATGTCTGTATAAAATACTATGTGTGAGACCAAGCCTGGAAGGGAATACACAGAAACAAAGATAGGAAGATTGGTAGCCTAGAGGATGCTGCTTCTCATTTATAAGTTCTCTGTATGTTTGTAGGCTGTTCTTACAATAAAACAAGAAAAATGAGTAAGAACACCAGGCAAAAAAGGAGGAATAACAAAAGAAGGCCATTATCAGATCCCAAAGAGTCAAGGGGCTCAAGATAGGAGTTTCCCGAAGGAGTAGGGTTCCAGGTTGAGCCTTGAAGAATGGACAGAATTTGAACGGAAAGGGGTGGGTTTTCGACCTAAAACCGGGAGGGGTGGTGACTGGTGGATGAAGAGCACAGAAGGAGAGGATGGGGTTTTAAAAAGGATCTCAGTAATGAGAACCAGCTTTGAAATGTGAAGAAAAGGGGCAGCTCCATCCCCTGGAGGCCGCTGTTCCTCCCCCAGCCGCTTACCCTCTCCCGCCCCTAGGCTGAGGCCTCAAACTAAAGGTTGCCCCTTATAAACATGGCCGCTCAAAGGAGCCGTGCCCCTCATCAAGATGGCGGCCACGGTAGTCCCACCTCTGGCTGGTTTGGCTGCCAATGAGCGAGAACTACGAAGACTTGCGCATGCGTGGTGCGACTCGGTGGGCGAGTCCAGTAACGACTAGGGGATCCCGGCAAGTAACATGACTAAAAAGAAGCGGGAGAATCTGGGCGTCGCTTTAGAGGTGAGGAGGAAGTAAGGGTTGAGTTACAACATCAGTTGCCTTCTTCCGGCCGCGGGGTAATGGGTCGGCAACGGCTGTAGGTTGGAGAAGGGGTCCAAGGGAGGAAGGGAGGTCGACGCGGATTTGGGAGAGGAACGCAAGGAGTGAGAGGGCCCGAGAGGTACCTGGAGGCGAGAGGGCACGACGGGGACCCTGGAGGTTAGGGAGCCCCGAAGTAGGCACCAGACGGGGGAACTGGAGGCGAGGAGACCTCCAGAGAGGAAGAGACGTGGAGGTGAAGGGAAGCCCCAAATAAAACAGAGCACAGAAGTGAGGGGACATGGAAGTGAGGAAGACCTGAGGAGAGACATGTAAGTGGAGAGTTACCAAAACGAATGGGTTCTCAGAGGTGAAGGGGACCCCAGAGGAGGAGGGACCTGTAGATGAGGGGAATTCGCAAAGGGCTATGACGCAAAGGCGAGGGAGCTCGTACTGTTTAGTATATTACTAGTGGCTTAAATATCCCAAGATGAGAAGTTTTTCCTCTACGGTACCAAAACTTGTAGCTTGAAAATTACGTTGGGAACCTTTGGGAATGCGTAAAGAGAGTGCTGGAATTGGTGATGTTACTGAAGAACTTCAAAATAATTTACTGCATATGGAAGAGAATGAAAACTGACACATATGGAGTGACTACTATATGCTACTTTCACTTGCATGCTGTTAATCCTCACTGCAAGCCTGTGAGATTTGTACAGATGAGGAAACAGGTTTCAAGTAGAACCCAGGGTGAAGTGGTGGAGGAAGTGGAGTTGAGAATCAAGCCTAGGTGGTCTTCCTGGAAGTGCGTCTTGTTTCCCCCATTTCTGTTTCCTTAGAACATCCTCCCAGACGCTGCAAGAGAGGTACAAGGCAGTAGCCTTCTTATGGCTTACTACCTCGTTCAGTGATTCTCAAACTTAAGAGTGCGTTGAGTCACTTATACAGCTTGTTAAAAATGGTGAGTCAGCAATTATTATGTGTCAATTAAAAACAAAAGAATGAACAATAAAAAACAAAAAAAATGGAGTGCTGAACCCTGTCCCCATCCTGAGTAATTCAGTAGGACTTGGGTGTGCATTTTTAACAAGCCACACACACCCATGCTGATGCAAGTGGTTTTAGTAGTACCCCTTGAGAAATATTGGCCTACTTAGTAGGAAAAAAGATCGATGGAAATGTGAATCTCCTAAAAGAGAATAGTTTATGAATGGTGAAATGAGATGGCATTCTGTAGTGGGAAGAGTATTGACTTTATAGCCCGTTTTAGGGCACAATCAGTGGCTTTAGGAACAAAGTTTGGTTTTTTTTCTAACAGGCTATAGCAGGGGTCAGTGGAGGTCTGTAAAGGATCAGATAGTAAATATTTTAGGCTCTGTGGGCTATAAGGTCTGTTGCAACTACAGTGGATCCTCATTATTCATGGATTCCACATTTGTGAATTTGCCTACTGGCTAAAATGTATTTGTAACCCCAAAATCAATACAGCACTTTTGCAGTCATTCACGGGAAAATGCAAAGCAGTGGGAAAAAATTTGAGTCACCTGAAGTCCACCTTCCCAGCTATGGTCAAACGAGATTCTTTGCCTTCTTGTTTGAGGTGTCGTACTGTAAACAAGTGTCCTCTTTGTGGCCTACTTAGTGCCACGTTTTTGCATTTTTGAGCTTTTTATTGGTAATTTCGCTGTTTAAAGTGGTGCCAAGCATAGTGCGGAAGTGCTGTTAGTGTTCCTAAAGTGCAAGAAGGCTGCGATGTGCCTTACAAAGAAAATAGATTTCATAGATAAACTTTGCTTAGGCATGATACAACTCAGCACTGTAATATTCTGTTGGCCTTGAGTTCGATGTCAATGAATCAACAACATAAATAAGGTCTCTTTAAACAGAAACACGCATAAAACAAGATTTGTATGGATCTGTGATGAAAACGTTGTGACTAGAGGCTCACAGGAACCTAACTTGGTTCAGTATTTGTTAATTCACTGTTGGTATCATCTTTCTAGAACATAACTACCATGAATAAGGAGAACCAACTACTCAGACTATCATAACACAAAAGTAGCTATAGGCAATATGTAAATGAGTGGGTGTGGCAGTATCCAATAAAACCTTTTACAAAACAGGTGGTAGACTGTGTCTCACAGGCCATAGTTTGCCAGTCCCTGGTCTAGAGTACCAGGACTGGAGGTTTGCCAGATTCCCGCCATCTTGTGGCTCTGCCATCTTCCAGGACCTTACCACCTTATCAGTGAAACCAGGACACACCCCATCGTGGCTACTAGTGGGGGAAGAGAGAGAGTGGAGGAAGCACACCCACTGTGTGAAGGATCCTGGGCCCAAATGGCTCACTTTCCATTGATAAGAATTAAGATGCTTGGCCCCACTTAACTGCTTGGGGGGGCTGGGACATGTGTTTATCAGCCAGGTGGCCACAGGCCCAGCTACAGCTTGATTACTATGGAACAAGAGGCCAGCGTGTTTTAGAGGACAGCCTGCAGTCTCCACCACAGGTTGCACCTCACCCTACAGCGTGGTTGTGAGGATTAAATGAGACAATATGTGTGAAGTGCCTAGCATGTGCCTGGTGCAGGATGGCTAATCAATAAACGGTATAGTAGCCTTTGTAGTTCTTTTGCATCCTTCCACCATGGCTAAGTCAGCCCCCTTGTTCAGGCTTTAGTTTCCTCATCTGTAACATGAAGGACTTGAACTTCACCAGGGGTTACAAACTCACTGTGGTCCAAATCTTTTCTCTGGCTGACAGATTTTTAAAGTGTTTTTAACGTGGTGGGACGTGTATTGTGTCTTATACTGGGGTAGATTTGCTCATTTTCCCTCTGGATACCTCTGTATTTATATTTGCCATCTTGGTCTTTAAGGCTGCTTTTTGTTTGGATATTCGAAGATTTAAGATCTGTAACTGTGTGCCCCAGAAAAAGCCTGGCATCTGGCTGTCTCTCCATCTTGCTCCTCTGTTGCCCCCAGCGGGTCTGAGTGTTGAATGTGCACTGATGCTTGTAGCAGTAGATATTGTCCTCTTATTAAAAGTCTTGTGCTCAGAGCCAATGAAGTGGTGATTTAATCAAAAATGTTTGTTAATCTGACGAGTGCAATAAAACCCCCACAAGTGAGTGATCTCAGCACCTGCAAACAGTCTCCACTTGTTGTAATGAAGCAATTACCAAGCAGGCAGCACTCACCCTGAGGGCTTGCTCGGCCAGCTGTACCAGGCAGTCACCTTCTAGGACAACCAAAGCACCTTCTCACCTCCCCCACTCGTAGTTCCTTTTGAGGCCTTTTTATACAACTCATTTGCCACTTTGTGAGATCACAGAGTTGGAAGAAATTGGCTGTGAGTTTTAGCTTCTGAGAGTTTATTTGGAATAATAAGAGAAAATTATAGTTCAGATGAGAAATCACCAGGCCTGGTACTGATTTTAATGTTGTGTTGGAGGAGGGAAAGGTTGCACTTCAGTCTAAATTGATAGGAGGATTTTGGCTGATGTAAAATCTGGTTTTGTTTTTTTTTTTTCTTGATCTCTGATAGTAATAAGCTGTTACTTGGTCATTGTACTTTTCTTTTATAGCTGAACCATTCAACCTGGTGTCTTTAGATGTTTCAATGGCCAGTTGGTGTTAAGTTAACAGATGTATGGTATTTGAGTTGACATCTTAAAGGGAATAACTTGGTTGGATCTGGTCCTTAGTACAAAAATCTATCATTCTGGAAAGGCTTTGGCTATAAGTTACAGAAAACTGACCTTGTGACTTAAGCAAATATGAGTATACCTTTTTACTCATAGAAATTTGTAGGTAGGGGCCGAGCCCGTGGCGCACTTGGGAGAGTGCGGCACTGGGAGCGCAGCAGTGCTCCCGCCGCGGGTTTGGATCCTATATAGGGATGACCGGTGCGCTCACAGCGTTCACTGGCTGAGCACGGTGCGGCTGGTCTCAAAAAGGACAAAAAAAAATGAGAAAAAAAAAAAAAAATTTGT